AGATGTTTATCCTATTAAATATGATTTCATCCTTTATGAGGTGCATCTCGCAGCCTCTCGTGCATACGTGTGTCGGCATGTTTGTGGTCCATTCGGACGTGTCACGCGTCCTGCGGAAATTCTCCCCGCTGGAGAGTTCCCTTATCTCAAGCAGTTAAACAATGTCCTAAATTCTACTCACACATGCATACAGACAAGCATTTGATTTTTTAGAAAAATGGCTACTGAGATGCGGATGCGTCCTACTGAAGCTGACAGATACGGCCCGTAGAAGGTGTAGTCAAGTAATTGACACCTGGTAAGAGGCAAGAAGCACATAATTTGGCCATGTTCAGGTATTTGAAATTAGCGTCCTAGCTCAAACATACATATTGATAGTAATCGATCATTTTGTCACCCAAAATTCACGTGACTTTGCTTTGAAATGGGTTGGACCAGAGGAATGCGAACACCCGGTCGTGACGCCTACATATACTTCTGCAATATGTTCTTTTAAAGACATGGATGGAGGCCACATGGGCCTATCCTGTTCAGATGACATATCGTCTGATACTAAGACCGCTCACATCCCGACTGCATTCTCCTTACGTCCCCAGCATGATGAACAGCACCCTGGCGAGTACCCGCTCTACTGTCCCGGCCTGGGAAAGTCGTACAGATCAAGCATCAAGCACCACCGACGGGAGCGCAGATGACCATTTCTCCACTCTTTCCCCCACTTCCCACAACTCTGAAGCGAAAGGAAACTTTTTTTCGCGGGTGGAGAATCGGAGGAAGGGTGGGGAGCTCGTCCCAGGAGGCAAAGCAGTCGCCATGACCTGCTTGACCAGCATACCAGAAAGACATGGACCACACAGCGACAATGCCGCCGGCCTTCGCCATGTTTTCACAAAGCAAGGCAACAACAACAACAGTAGCAACGAGACGGGCGATCGGTGGACGGGTACGGACTCACACCCCGGCATCAATCAGTCCCACGTCCACGCCCATGTTGCCCCACCCTCTGCGGCTCCCGCATCGAAGACATCGGCCTCCTCCTCCACTCCTTCCGCCCCTTCCTCCCCCCCTTCTTCTTCCGCCGCTCTCTTGGCCATGCGATTGCTTCCTTCCCACCTGCATCGCCGCCGAGACTCTCCTGATGGTGCCAACGCGGCCTTCCCCCTCTCCGATCCACACATGCACGAGAAAGTCCGCGCAGGAACCGCGCTTCTCCATGCATCTTCCCCAACCCCAGAGCACTCTTTGGAAAAATCGTCTCGGACAAGGCCTGTGAGAGCAATTTTGCCTGAGTCGGGGGAATGGATGGCATCTCCGCTCCCT